CATTCCAGAAGTGTTATACAATTATAAATCCCAGTTATATTTTGAACAATAAGAATGTTAAGGTCAATGTTCCTGCTCGGAATCCTTTGCTTCCAGCAAGTACTTTTACAATATTGGATGTACAGATACCCTTGAAATAGAGTGCAACCCCAGTTTTCTTGAGACCATACCCGTGGTTTCATAAATAATAATAATAATAATAATAATAATAATATGCTGACACAAAAACAAAGTATGTCACAACAAACGAGATCTATATGCTAGATTTTGTATCACAAAATCACAAGTCGAACACTTCCCAAGCGTCTAGGACTGTGCAATGTATTTTCAACTAATAATGATAATTATTATGATTATGATTATGATTATTACTATTATCATGTGTATGTGACAAAACAGTATGTCCTGTCTAGAATTTTTCTATGTCTTCCAGGCAAGTCTATGGCATGCTTAAACTGGAAGTTACTGTATATATTTGAGTATAAGCCAACTCGAATATAAACCAAGGCACCTAATTTTCCACAAAAACTGGGAAAATGTATTGACTCAAGTATAAGCCGAGCATGGGAAATGCAGCAGCTACTGGAAATTTCAAAATCAAAATATATAGCCATAAAATTACATTAACTGAGCCATCAGTACGCTTAATGTTTTTGAATATTTACATAAAACCATAATTTAAGATAAGACTGTCCAACTCTGATTAAACCATTATTTTAATCTTCTTCAATGTAAATTTGCTTATGTATTGTATCCTTCCAAAAATAATAAAGAGTAAAATAATACATGTAATAAAATAATAATAATAAATTATAAATGTAATAGTAATAGAATAAAATAATAAATGTAATAATAATAATAAAATAATAATAATAATAATAATTCCAATAATAATCATGAAAATAATAACAGAGTAAAATAATAAGTAACCTTGACTTGAGTATAAGATGAGGAGGGCTTTTTCAGCCCAGAAAAAGGGCTGAAAATTTGACTTATACTCAAGTATATACCGTAACATATAGTTGCCCCGGAAGATTTAGCAAATTCCTAAAGAGGATACCTGCTAGGAGCTACAGTTGGTCATTTGTCTTTAATGTTTTGTTACAAGAATGTTTAGTTCAAAACCAGGATGCAAATTGGAGGTTGTCGTAAGGCCTTTCCTGCATCGAAAATACCCTGAGAAGAGGGATATATTGCATTTAGGGCTTTCAAGGTGATCTGTCCATCAGTCATTGGTGCTTGTGAAAGACCCTTGAGCTTTACAGAGCTTCAGAACTAGCTATGTGGCTTCATGAGGCTTACAAACACACTTTGCCTATTTCATTTTAAAATGAGAAAATTACCAATTTTTCATAACTGGAAGTAGACGTCTGATAAGCTTGGCTTTGTCTTCTTTCCATGTTTTTAATTTTTATTTTGCTATTATTTTTATTTTGCTGTATTTTTACCCCAGGCCTGTTGAAGGTGGCAGTCTCTGGTTTATGCAGTGGGAATGAACATTCTTCCCCCACCTCCATAATGCAAAACAGTTCATCAGCCTATTTAATATAAAGTTTTATTTTCCTAAAATCGTTCTCACATATGTTCACAAATACACACATATATTCTGTGTTTTTCATTCTAAAGCAAAGTATAAGGACCTTGAACTGTAAATCAAAAGATGGTATATTTCCCTTTTTATCTTAAAGCATGATAGGGTTGCTTTCTAAATATTTATACATTAGAGAGCAGAACAAGTTATTTAAACAACATTTGTTTAAGAAAAATCTTCAGTATGCAATTAAACATAAAACTTCTGAAATGAAAAATGCATATGATTTATCATATGTAAAATATGGAGACATGACTAATTTAAAATATTTTTAAAGGCAAGTGGTAGAAATTCTTATTTGTACAATTTATTTTTACTTTTCTTTTCTTCCACCCACCCACTTTTTGAAATAATATTTGAGAATTGTGCTCTACTCAGACGGTTGTTAGATGTTCACTATATATTGTATTATGTGTGGTTGTTTTTATACTGAAATGTTTTCTATGATTTTTTTTGTGTTATATTTTAGCTATGTTGAATCTCAGGTTTGTCCCCATGTAAGCCGCCCTGAGTCCCTTTGGGAATATAGAGGCAAGGTACAAAAATAAAATTATTATTTTACCTACACAAACACACTGTATTTCACAGCAAATGAGATCTATATGCTGGATTTCATATCACAAGTCGAACACTTCCCAAGCGTCTAGGACTGTGTGATGTATTTTCGAATGATGCATGCAGATCCAAGTAAGGTGGCCTTTTGCAGCTGACAGATTGTGATTTTGTCAATGTTTATTGTTTCCAAATGCCGGCTGAGGTCTTTTGGCATGGCACCCAGTGTGCCAATTACCACTGGGACCATCTGTACCGGTTTATGCCTTTGCAGTTCGTTTTTGAGGTCCTGGTAATGGCCGAGTTTTTCCTGTTGATTTTCCTCAATGCGACTGTCACCTGGTATGGCAACATCAATAATCCAAACTTTTTTCTTTTCCACAATCGTGATGTCTGGTATATTGTGTTCCAAAACTTTGTCAGTCTGGATTCGAAAGTCCCCACAGTATTTTTGTGTATTTATTTTCCACTACCTTTGCAGGCTTATGATCCCACCAATTCTTTACCGTTGGTAGGTGGTACTTGTGACATAAGTTTCAGTGAATCATTTGGGCCACAGAGTTGTGCCTATGTTTGTAGTCCGTCTGTGTGATTTTCTTGCAACAGCTGAGGATATTATTATTATTTGTAGTGATACATGCTCCCCATTTACTTACAGTCTTAAAAAGCAAATTTTTATTCCAGTAGTAGATAAACTGACTTCTTTGTAAATGGTCCCAAACTCCAACCCTAGCATCTTCAAAAATAGTATGACCACTGTATCAATAAGATATTATTGGACATTATATAGATATGTGAAACCACATATAATATTGAAATGAAGGACTTCTGGCCTAGGAATAACATATGGTTACACTGAAGGACCAAGAAAACGCTTAGAGATGTCATAATTTGTCAGAAGTGGATAAATGAAATCACAAATATCACTCCCACAGAGACAGAAGTCATACTTGAGTCATCTCATCTGAAAGCCTATACTTCAACCAGTATAGGTTACAGATGTAAAGAAGGCTGATAACAAAGGTATCTTGGCATACTGAACCACCCTATTGAGAAAATAGTCAACTATGGTTATTTTTTATGCTTTTTAGGAGACTGTGGGATGTGGGGATGGCATTTGTTGTTGAATAAAAGCAGATTTCTTCTTCTTTTTTTGCATAAATGATTTTTTTTCACAAAAATTCCAAAATTATGAAAAAGCACCCAAACATTTACAAAAACCTTTGTTGCCTTGTCCAGTATATGATCTCTACTGCAGATAACACAAGCTGGGTGGATCAATGACCTGACTTGATTACCAAAAAAATCCCTGTTTTTTCTCTATTCTATTATTTATTTATTTATTTATTTATTTATTTACTGTGCTTATAGACCGCTGTTCTCAGCCATGGGGCGACTCACAGCGGTGTACAACATGTAAAAATAAGATGCAATTTACAAGACATAATCTAACAACAACTAGCAATATCAAAAACATCATCATCAATAACATCCACAATCTCAATATCAATAATACAGTTACAACAAAGTCATTCGAGTCGTCTCATCGTTGAACCACAATCCAATATCGTTTTCCGTTGTTCCGTTCCTATCGTCGTTACCAGTTATTGCACTACTTGTTCGAACGCCTTCTCGAACAGCCACGTCTTTAGTCTCTTGCGCAATGTCATAAGGGAGGGCGCCAGTCTGATGTCCGCGGGAAGGGTGTTCCACAGCCGAGGAGCCACCACCGAGAAGGCCCTGTTCTCTCGTCCCCGCCAGGCATGCCTGTGAGGCAGGCGGGATCAAGAGCAGAGCCTCCCCGGATGATCTTAAAGTCCTCGTGGGCTCATAGGCCGAGATGCGGTCAGATAGTATCTTGGGCCGGAACCGTTTAGGGCTTTATAGGCCAACGCCAGCACCTTGAATTGAGCCTGGTAGCAAATCGGCAGCCAGTGGAGCTGGTACAACAAGGGCATTGTGTGCTCCCTGCATCCCGCTCCTGTTAGTAACATGGCTGCCGCACGCTGGACCAGCTGAAGCTTCCGGGCCGTCTTCAAGGGCAACCCCACGTAGAGAGCGTTGCAGTAGTCTAAGCGGGATGTGACCAGAGCGTGTACTACTGTGGCCAAGTCAGACTTCCCAAGGTACGAGGTATTCTACCAAGGCTCCTCTAGTTTTCTTATGAAAACAAGCAAGGTGGTTCCTATCACTTTCAGCAAGATTGTTGATTTTCACTATATGAGCTTTATGGGAATGGAGTACCTTCCTTCTGACTCTCTAGTGCAGAATGATTATGTTTTGATTTATGCTGCATGCTACTAGTCCAATTTGTATTTGATTTTGCCCATTTTATTTTAGCCAAGAGGTTTCTCCTCCTATATTTGATGCAAAATGCAAAGAAAAGGAATCAATAAATTTATTTTATCTTTAGCAATACTTTCTCCTGTTACTTCTGTTGCAATTAAAGTTGATTTAGAAAACGTAGCATACTATTATACCTTCTGTATTTTATCTGCAAATTGTTGAGTGATGCTAATCCCATGAGCATAGGTAGTGCTGAAACATCAGATGTTGATCAGAATGTTTTAATAATTAACACTACCTGCTACTGAATTGCTGGAGTGAAACTTAACAACCTTCCTTTTAGGTCATTTCATTTTTTTTCTGGTTTAACTGGATGAAGCAAGTTGTATATGAAACCTTATCTTTAAGGTTTTATAAAGAAACCTTTATATTTAAGAATTTAAAACAAGACACCATTTTTATATAAAATGGGAAACATTCAGGGATGAACAAATTTAATTAGGAAACAAAAAAAGAAATACCAAGGGAGAGTATTCCACATGCAAAATGATGTTTTTTGTCTCACTTTCAGGGTTCTCCAAAACCCATCGCCATTGAGCCTTGCTCAGGAAACAAAGCAGCAGTACTTACTGTGTTTTTATGCCTGCCAAGAGGATCGTCTGGAGTCCCCCCACCAGGTCAATCAGGTATGAATCCTACTATAGCACTAATTGGGTAATGTTATTCTGCCTATTTATATCAACATTGAAACTGATCAAGGTCCTCTTTTAATGCTACCAACCATCCAGTCTATAGCAATCGGGGCTGCTAATAACTTGGGGATTTATTATGTTATCCAAAGTTCTTGTGTGTGTGTGCACGCGTGCACATGTTTAAACACAATTTACAATTTCCATTGTTCTTCCATGTCTGCTGAGCTAATTATATTAATAAGCATTCTTTGCTCAACTGCTTAAAATGCAGGCAACTTTCTGAGTTGTTGATTTGCACAAAGAAAAGTCAACTTGAACTGACAAGGCAAAGTTTGCTGCCACCATCACATACCTGAATAGCAAAAATAGACATAATCATGTCTAATTGCTGTGTTAAGGTAATGTATTCACTAGGAGCTAAATTTAACATCAGTGTAACATAATTTTAAAATTGAGATAATATGTTGGAAACTACATACTTAGGAAGAGTATGACCAAATCCACCATCAGACATATAAACATAATCTGATAGCACAGCGGGTTAAACCGCCAGCTACAGAAAATCTTGCCTACCAGAAGGTTAGCAGTTCAAGCCGTGGTTAAGGTGAGCTCCTGCTGTCAGCCCTAGCTTTTCTGCTTATCTAGCAGTTTGAAGACAGCAATGTGAGTAGATAAATAGGTTTCACTTTCACAGGGATGTAAAAAGCGCCCTTGAAGACATGCCGGCAAGGTGTCCATGGGCAACAGGCTCCTCAGGCATCGAAAAATGGAACAATAGCACCTCTCCATGCCGAGTCGAGCACAGCTTCCAGATGTTGGAAATGAAAAAGAAAGAGGGAAGCCTTGTTTCTGTCTATGTACTGTTAGTCTTTGTTAATCTGTATAAAGGCATTGAATGTGTGCCAAAAATGTATTCTATAATCCGCTCTGAGTCCTCTCGAGGCGATAGAGAAGAATATAAATAAAATATATTATTATTATTATTATTATTATTATTATTATTATTATTATTTTACTGACACAAAAACACAGTATGACACAGCAAATGAGATATATATGCTGGATTTTGTCAAACACTTCCCAAGTGTCTAGGACTATGTGATGTATTTTCGAATGATGTGTGCAGATCCAAGTAAGGTGGCCTTTTGCAGTTGTCAGATCACGATTTTGTCAATGTTTATTGTTTATTATTATTATTATTATTATTATTATTATTATTATTATTAAACATTGATTTTGTCAATGTTGTTTATTATTTGAAGCACAAGATGAGTCCACAGCAGACAAGATCACTCTGCTGTATGTTGTATTGGATCACACACTGGACACTTCCCAAGTGTCTAGGACTATGTGATGTATCGGCGAATAATGCGTACACATCCGAGTAAGGTGGCCTTCTGCAGCTGGCTGATGGTAATTTTGTCAGCGCCGATTGTGTTTAAGTGCAGGCCAAGGTCTTTAGGCACTGCACCCAGTGTGCCGATCGCCACTGGGACCACCTTTACTGGCTTGTGCCAGAGTCTTTGCAGTTCAGTCTTTAAATCCTCATATCATGTCAGCTTTTCCAGTTGTTTCTCTTCAATCCTGTTGTTGTTGTTGTTGTTGTTGTTGTTGTTGTTGTTGTTGTTGTTGTTATCTGATCCCTAGAAATTTAACTTAAAATCTAGGCATATCTACCAATGAGTGTCGGAGTTCTACCAGTGCTGTTGAGACACTGAAGGATTATGTGCCCAACTTCCTCCTACCTTGCAGAGTTGTTTTACAACTCAACATACTACTATTCACTTATGGGAAGGAGCTGGGTGTACTATCCTTCAGCACTACACTTGCCAGCAGTATGGAACTCAATCCCTTGGTAGAGCTGCCTAGATTTTCAAAGGGGTTTGGGTGGCATTTGTAATTGTAGAATGTTGGGATTCAACCCCACACTGCCCAAGTCTCAAGTTCTCAACGAGGAGCAGTTAGTTAGCTTAGTATACACAAAGGGTTTCTCTTCCCCCATGTCTCCTGAATGACAGTTGGGAATCACATTTCTTAATAGTAAAGAACTGGATCTGAGCTAACACGCAACTCTTCCAAGGTTTCAAATAGAGGGAGAAAACACCAGTCATTACATCCTTCTGACACACACAGAGAGATCTCAAACAAAGCATACAACATATACTCTCCATACTAAAGTGTAAGAAGGCACAAGTCAGATTCAAAAAGCTTGCAATAGAAAAGTCTCCATTTTAAACAACCAATCAGAATGAGAGCAGAAAGAGAGAAGAGAGCAGAAAAAGGTACATTTTTTAAAAGATGGGACCCTGCATGTTTACCTCCTAAGCTCTAAATTCTTTGCAGCCACATCACACGGCACTTCACGCTCTGCTCACTAATGAGCTGATGCTCAGCTTTTGTATCCTGTTTATTTTTGGATGCCCTGCTATATTTTAGGGTAGTTTTTCCCTAACATAGAAATTGTCCCAAAATGTCTATTTTAATAGGAAAAAAATCACAAGGTTGTAAGACTTGCTGATGACGTTGTAATTGTGAAACAGGGTGCTAGCCTATATGTTTGAGCTAAGGAAACTAGAATGGTATTAAACAGTATACCAACCTTTGGGGAGGCAAAAATATATCCATGTATCAATATCCCCACACCTTATATGAAGCATATATATTATTAAGGAACATAATAATGATCCATTGAGAAATAAGACAGATTTGGAAGTATTGATCTTTGGTAATAATTCAGTAGGTCTGCTTATATAAAATGATAATGGAATCAGAAATGGCCTGTGCCCAAACAAGGAGCTGTAAAATAGTTGTAGTTGTCGTCCCCCCCCCGTCCCCCCCCCCTCCGCTTTTTTATTTTTTTGGTAATAAAGGGTTGAGTGTTGTAATAGCAGTATATATCAGATTTGTACATATAATTAGCACTGATATATACTGCTATCACAACATAGCAGTATATATCAGTGTTAATTATATGTACAAATCTAATGGAAAGATTTTAAGGACATTCACATATTAGCAGTACCTTTACCCATCTAAAATAATGTACACATGCGATTTTAATGTGTACAGCAAATGACATGTATGGGAGGGGAAGGTTGGGGACAGATTTGTGTTATGTTATGGTGTGTGTATGGAAGCAACTTAAGATTTACATCATTTGGAAATTAGTTTTTGATGTTAGATGAATGTCAAACGATGATAGTCAATTGGATCTACTTTGGATACCTAAAAATATTGTTGTTTCTATTGATCTGAAAATGTCTATATCTTCAGCAAGATTGCAATTATTTAAAGGAGGACAACTCTGTTCCTCTCTCACATCCACAAACCACGAAATAAGAGGTATTTAGTGTGTAGTTCATCATATATCTGAACTCAATAACCCTGTAGAGATAAAGAAGGTAAGCAGATGGGCAGTGTTTTGTTAGATGATGAGTAATATTCCTAATGTTTTGAACTGATAAGGTGCAAGATGTCTTATTTAATATTGATGGAATGTAAAGTGCTACCTGCAGAGTTAAGCCAGAAATTCAGACGGGATGAACACACCCACCCACTCAGTCATGCAGTAAAATTATACCTGTATTGCATTATTTAATACTATGAGTATGGGGATGCATGAGTGAAAATTCTAGCTTTGTCAAATAAAATCCCAAATCACTTGCACACAAACATATGCAAAGTCTCATAAACAAGCCTGTGCACATAAAAGAAGCAAGAAGATGGAAAAGTGGCTTTTGAACTTATAATAATAAATAATAAAAAAAACCTATCCTTCTCTCTGGCGTGCTAGGATTCCCCCCTACCCCCGCCAAGAAAATTGGGGATTTTGGGTGTAATGGGGCAACCAGCTCTGACATTCTCCAGCTTGAACATTATGAAATGGCAAATGGAATAGTTGGGTAAACTCAAGCTTAACTGCTGTGATGTCACAGAAGACGTGTATTGTTTTGGTCTAGACAGACTTGTTGCTTATCTCATGTTAACCAATAGTTCCAGAAATTTGAGCTAATGCCTACATGTGATGGCTTATGTAATAAGGTTTACTACATAACGTAAACATGTTTACTCAGAGTAAACCCCACTTATATCAGTGGAAAATATTCCTTGCAAAACATAATTTTAGCTATAGCTTAATGTTTACTTAGCTGTAGCTGGGGTAAATGTGTTTGCTTCGTTGCTACTTTTGTATGCTCCCTTGTTTAGTATGCTTCTTTAGTAGACCTTAAATTGTACTTTTCTTTGATATATTCTATAAGACACTTCATTTTCCCCTCACTCAGAGCCAACCCACAAGGAGTTGAGACCAAGATTTATACACTTTGCAGCTAACCCTATTTCTAAAGTTTGTTTTGCAGGTGGTATTTTTATTGTTTGTGATGACATGTTCTCAGCTCTTCATCCTAGAGAATTTATTTTGCTCCTAGATTGTTCTCTGTGTGCTGTTCAATATTTCACCCAAACTACATAGCCAGACCTTGAGTTAGTTATCTCTTCCACTTGCTGCTGCAGCCACATCATTGGCATTTTGCTCTTTTCAGATAATTTATGCATTACCTTATCTCCCCTTATATTTCTGTTGTCTGATTTGTTTTGTTTACTGCCTTAAGTATTGGAGAGCTATAATTTAGTCCTTTTTAGAACCTTGGGAGCAGAAAGTCTTAGAAACCTCTCTGTCTTTCAGCCAACAAGCTGTCTTGTTGGACAGCGAACACAACATTCTTCACAAAATGTGGAGGCAAATATCTATGAGCACAATCTATCCCCTGCGTGTAGATATGGAGTGGAAAAGTCCAGAGACTCAAGCCAATAACTAACCTACAAGAATATCCATGCATACAAAACATTAAAGTATTCCACTGTTAGATTACAGTGCAGCAAAAAAAGATACTTTGGAAGACGGAGCATCCAGTCTCTGAAGTCTTGCTCTTTACTCTTCTTATTTGCTGTTAAGTCCATTTCAACTTATTGAAATGCTATGAATGAGAGACCTC